GTAGGAACCAAAACAATAAAAGGATTTATTATGTAGGATAAATTAATTATACAAGCAAAACTAACCATAAGTTTAAAGAAGAAAAATGTGTCAAGCACAGTTTTTTACACTGTCACCTGACTATACCCTATACCTACTGAATGTCCTGCCAGGATTTTCAGAGTGCACCTTTCCTACTGATTTTGCCAGCCCTGACTGCTGGGAACCTTTAACCTCCAAATCCTAGGATCCAAAGAACCTAGTTCTATTATAGACTGTAAATTACCTGCCAACCAGCCCACTCATCAGCATTATTTTAATTTCTCATGAGGCACAGAAACCTCCAGAAATGTCTTTTCCTGGAATATCTGGTATTCCTCTGGCCTAATGGGTCTTTTCTCTCACATGCCTCTGCTATTGTGAGGTAGCCTTTTCCCATTACAAGCAAACAATAACTTGAGTGTCTAGCCTATCAACAGTCCATTGCCTCTGTGACTGGGAGTGGCAGTGGTCCTTGTCCTAGTATCAAAATAGCAAAGAGTTACTTAGCAGTTACACCTACTCTGTTTTTTCTTTGGTTAAACCAGGATAAAAATCATAAAGATATACACAGACACCTTAATTTAATCTATCCCAGGGGTCGGCAACATTTTTTTGCCAGACCACCAAAAACACCTGCAACCTCAATTTGTATGTTAGCATGTCAGGGACAGAGGAGCCACAAGGGGACAAATCCTTGTTGTGGCAGTACAACCCCAGCCCCTTTCCTGCCATCCACCCAAAGGCACTTGTGCATACTCTGGCACCTGCACCTGGGGTTGCCTATCCCTTATCTATCCAGTGATAATAGTGACATAAATGAATATGGCATGACATTGGCTTTCCAATGAGATGACACTTGCCATATCGTTACAAGAAACCCAAGAAAATCTGCATGACACCTTATAGACCTTAAAACAGAATGGATTGTGACAATTACCATAACTCATCTTAATCTTCAGGGTAGCAGTAGCAGTTAAGATACCTTGATAGAGGGCCAGAGGTATAATTTTTTTGTCATGTCTAGACTCATGCCAAAGAGTTGGTATCATCAAACTCTTGTGGGGGAACCTTGATGGTGAAAGAAAATAGGGTATATATATTGCAGTAATCAAATTTGCTGAACTAAAATTTAAAAGTGATATTGGGAGAGGAAGGAGGGGTGTAGGTTGTAGCCCTGTTGGTCTAAGGACATAGGCAGACAAGGTTCCTTGGGTGAATTTGATATCTGTTATTAGACCAACCCAAATAGTTGGAGAATAGTTATTAAGCAAGCTTTCTAGTTCAAAAACCCTTCGTCAGGCTAAGGAAGTTTCAGCAGTTGGTGTGTGCTTTACTTTTCATTCCATCCAGGAAGAGAAGCCAGGGGCTGGGCTGGGGAGTCAGTTGCCAGGCAGAGTATAATGTATCAAAAATCCAATGTCTATGTTTGTCCATGATCTCTAGTATCCAGGAGGTTGATGAAATGGAGATCATAGGCTTGTCTCTGGGAAGTGTTGTGTAAGTTTCCCTTGAGGATCAGTTTCCCTTGGGAACGGAAGAGATTTAAGAAAGTAGTACTACATAACTGGTTGCCAGAACTATTTCATCAAGAGGGTGGATTGTGGTCTGGAGTTATAACACACAAAAACAGGAATTAAAGGTGTCAGGAGGAACTAATGATATTACAATGATTGGATTCTGATAAAATTAAACTTTTTAAATAAAAACATTTCCATGAGCAAATGACTTTATTTGAACTTAGAACCTTAAAATCTTAAAACACTGCCTTTTAAAAAAAATTGAAAGCTTCAGTATTTCAGCTAATGGGAGGGGCTGAGGAAGGGGGGAAAGAAGTATTATTTCAGTAAGTCCATCACAGTACAATAAAGCACAATGGTATATGCACATGAATGCAATTTAATGCATTAAATGTTTCCCCTAATTGAGAGAGTTCTCATAAGAACTCTCATTAAAGTGAACTGTCTTATTTGCATGAATAGTGAGCTTGTACTAGCAATGATCATCAGTGCCAGAGAGATCAGGTATGTAATCACGGCAAATGACAGTACAGCCAATTAAGTAATATGTAAGCAGCATTATTTGTTCTCCAAAAAAACCCAAACCCCAAGCTTGAAACTACAATCACAACAAGTAGATTTCAAGTGAATTTATGTGAACTAACATTAAAAAACTTACAGACATTTTGTGAGTGGTCTTTTGAAGTCTGTCCAGTATAGGTCTGACTTTATAGTCATATTATCACTATTCAGTTATGAGAGAGAAAACAATTATGGAAATTTTTTTGGAGTTTATGGAGTAACATACAAGTTCAAGGAACATCTGTGAACAACACTGTTGCTTTTTGGTGTGCTCGAGTCAATGATTTATAGGCGTAGGTCAAGAAAGCCTCATGCTGAAGTATGACACACACTTTCTTAGATGCTGTTTTATATGAAAAGTATTTCTGTTTTATTTACATATTTATTAGCAAAACATTTACAGTTTTAGTTTCCATTACTTTATGAGTGACATCAGGTAACCCATCTCAGTTCCAGAGAGTCCAAGGCTGTAGATGGTAAAAATGTCCAGAAAATATTTTTCACTGAATATCTGTTTTACAGAAAATAGATTTTCTAGATGACACATTTTTTGTAACAATACATAGTTTTTTCAGTAGGAGAATGATAACAGAATCTGTAGTGAGGGACTGCAACTAAGCCTTGGAAGGATAATTGACCTCAGCATTAAATTTTAAAGAAAATCCAAGACTTCCCTCAGGAACGGTTCTATAAGACTATTTCTAATCTTCTCTCTATTTTTGTGTACAAATGGGGCATTGGAATATTAATGTATTCAGTACACCGCTAACAATCAATTTTATATCTACTTTTCCTCTAATCTAGCCCATGCTTCAACAGCCTTGCCTGTATTAGAAACAAGGGTATTCATGAGAGCAAGTCAGTGTAGATGAAACTAAAGTAATGTTAGAAAAATGAGGAAGCAACCAAAAATCTATGGAAATGTTGAGGTCCATAAAGTTTATCTTGCCCTGTAACTGAAGATGAATGACACTTTCCAAGAGTTGCAAAATAAGGTTCACTGTGGTCTTTTACCAATTGAAACTTCATAATCATATTGCAACAATAAACAGCATAACACTCTTATACATGTGGCCAAGAGGCTGCAATCATTTTTCTCAGATTCAGACTTTGCTACTATGATCAATGCAATTCTTTACATCACATCTGAACAGTTATTTCTTATTGGCGTTGTTTAGTACCTGAGACTCTAATCCACTACGTTAGTCATAAAGCATTAACACAGTATCTAGACAGAAAACTGTACCCACAAAAGCTTACGCTACCCATTAAATGAAATGTACTTTTTTTTTTCTTTCACTAGGAACATGACAGTTGTACATCAAGGTTTCTGTGTCTGTGTGACTTCCCAATCAAGTTTTTGCTGTTGTTTTAGTCCTATGTCTAGAATATAATGGTGACATAATTAAAAAAAATAAGCTTATTTGTTCTGTCATGAGTCATCCATAAATAGCAGTTTCTTTGAACGTGTACATTATTTGTAATTACATAATGTTTGTATTGGTGAGAGAATTTTAATTGCTACGTTGGCTTTGTGAAAATTCATATTCAGTATTCAGGTTCTTAATTACTTTCTGCTGCTTCACCTTTTGAATATTAATATTTACTGGTAGTGGTGGAGTATTAGTTACCATTTATTACTTGTATTGCAGTCTCCCAAAATTGACTAGGCATTTCCAAACGTAGAATACAAAGAGTCCTTCCCCCATAGGAAGTGGTGTTTACAAAAGAAAGAGCTTGGATGACAGAGCTGAAATTTGTAAGAAAGTGAAGAGATTGCTGATAGAAATGCATCTGCTTATTAATACATTGTGAGGTATTGTTTTCATTCTTTGATTGGATAGAATTGCAAACGTGCTCGATCCAAATGTTCAAAAGTGCTACTCCATCCCTCTAGAAAAACAGTTCTTATACCTATCACCACCACCCCAGTGGTAATCCCAACACTTCAAACAACCCCTGAGTATTTTATTGACTCTTGCCGTAAGAAACAAGATTTTATTTCAGAAATTTCTGATCCACTACTATTTGCATATATAACAGTTACTAGTGTTTTAAATACATTCATGTGCCTGAAATATTTGAGTGAATGTCTCCTTGTAGAACAGAAGGATGCTATGGCTAAAGCTCAGAAATGAAAGTCAATAGGTCTTGGTTTTTTTCTGGTTCTGTTGTGGTCTTGCTGTATGTTCTTCTGGACACAACTTTTTATTTTTGTATTTAATTTTTCCAACTGAAACGATGATAATTATACCGTGTTACCTCAGAGACATGTTGTAGGGGTTAATTACCAATATTTTGTGAGGTACTTTGATATCATTTTAGAAGAGGAGTAGATCAGTTGTTTGAAGGCACATTAAAAGCAGAAAAGTACATCTGTCACTAATGTAATAGATACCTTCATAAAGAATACAAAGGGATTTCATTTCATCTTCTACTTTAAGCCACTGAAAACTATTTCCAATTTGAGAAAATAAATACAATTAGCTTGGCAAGAAACCATATGCCATTTTAACATGCTGACCCCTCATATATATATATATATATATATATATATGCACTGTAGCTTTATATATATATATAAAAAAGATCCTCTTTCCAATAATAGTGTAAAATGTTCCTTATGACCTTCCCAGGTTCTTTGTATGTAATTGTTTATCAATAACTTAGCTAAAAGGCTACGTTCCTTATTTCCCATTGAGGATATATCTATTCTTGCATTTCCTTTACAGAGAATTCCCAACATTAAATCAGTTAGTGATGTACAATGAGAAACGACATAATCAACATAGGGAAAATTCAGTAGAATTTATTTTAATTTATAATAGAAACAAATCCAACATATTATTTTGATGTTTGAATTTTGAAAGCTGCATTCATTACTGTTCTGTTTTCATGTAGGCAACAGATGTGAAGTAAATATAGATGAATGCATATCTGTACCTTGTCTCAACAATGGAAGTTGTATTGATGACATCAACTCCTTTAAATGTCACTGTAAGAGTGGTTTCATTGGAACAAACTGTGAGACAAATGCTGATGAATGTTTGTCAGAGCCTTGTCTTCATGGAAGGTAGCTATTTTTATTTTACTATTATTATCTCCAAGAAAATGTACTTAACTAGCAATATTGAAGATTTAATGACAAGGGAAGGTTGATAAAGATAGTTTTAATTACATTATCCATAAAGTAAGAGTACAAGCACAGTTAAGGATGACAGATGTTGCCTATTTAAGCTAATGTAATATACTGGTACATTACATCAGTTCCTTTTTCATTGGTGCTCATTAGCATAAAGCAATTTTCAATAAATGTGGATTAATTAGACTTGAAATTACTTAAAAGCAAGTCTTTCACTATTACATACCAACAGGTTGAAATGAGAAGGCTTTATTTTGAAGCATGCATGCCCTTTAAAAATACCTTCAGCTTGCAAAATATACCTTATGCAAAGCCAGTCTAAGTTAACAGAAAAAATTCTATGGCCTTTGGCAGTAGTTGGATCAGATTCTGAAGTGACTAATAAGTACATGGCTACAATAGAATGTTATGATTAGAGTGGAGTTAGGACTAACTCTATGTACATAATCTGTATTTTTGTATTTTATGTTTCAGTTGCATAGACCATATAGATGGGTATCGATGCACCTGTGAAGCAGGATGGACCAGCTTCAGATGCGAGATCAATGTTAATGTAGGTCTTTAAATTTAATTTTAATTGTGGGGAGAAAGGGTAACATACAATCTGAAACTCAATTTCTGACTTCAGTAGCTTCTGAATGATTCTTTTCATTGAAAACACATGACAGAAATTGAATTGTTTCAAATCCATTTTGAAAAGCTTGTTACTTATGTGAAACTGTATTAGAAATAGTATTGAGAAAATGCATTAAAATCTCGACAGTGTGTAGTAAATATGAAAGGCCAAAGAAGAACTAAATCTAAATTCTCTGAAAATCAGCTATGGCTCAGTTTGACATAACTGATGCTGATTAAATGTCAAAGATAGCATAGCTAGTTTACTGAAGTTTAATTGCATTTTGAATTGTGAACAATTGAATGCAATAAATTTATCTTGCATATGAATACTATGGACACAAAGCGTATCCTTCACATTCTCTGCCAGGAACTTGAACAAATCAATTATACAAAACTATTATAAAATTACATTCTATTGTCCCTGTTACCAAATCTGCCCATTACTTTGGGGTGTGCTCATTTATTAGGGATAGTTTCTAGGGTCTTGGTGATTCTGTCAATGTGCTGCTTGTGTTACTATACGGAGCTGTATTTCTCCCTTCTGCAAGCCCTCACCCCCAGTGGAGCTATCTTGCAGGACTCAGTCTCAGTGGGACTGGGTTCCTCCAGTCACCAAATCAGTCATACACACAAACACACACAAATTAACGTGACACGCCTGACCTGGCCGGGCTGATCAGCATGGACAGGCTGACACCCTCATATGCCAAGAATCAGTTCATAAGAGCAACAATAAAATGCAGTCAAACACAAGCACACAGGTAAACAGAATCCCTCTGAATCCGGCTGGGTGTCCAGCTGACACCCTCATGGGCCAGCATTCAGTTCATAAGGGCACGTCTGAGTCAAACGGGGTCAATCAGCCTATACAAGCTGATCCCCTTATGTGTTTCAAACTCAGCACGTCCCAATCTTTGGCCTCTTGATGAGCAGACCCCACAATAATTTGGGCTTCACAGGGATCTTTAGCATAGGTAAAAGAAGCGTTGCTGCAGAGCACGGGAGGAAAGAGAAGCAGAGAAGGAAAAATATACCCAATTACTACCAGTTTGACTATAAAAGTTATTTATTGCTAAGCATATGAAATATATAATAGTACTAGTAGTAATAGACATGCAAAAGAAAAACAAACACCAACAATGACAATACTACCCTGGTTTCACTAAGTATTTGGGGAAACTTAGCTCAAGCTTAACTGATACAGTTCAGGTTCAGAAGTTTATGCCTAGAAAGAAGACAGAGAACGCTGGGATCTCACCTAGTCCACGGTACTCAGGCTGCAAAGCTGACAGGCACAGTCCGTAGCACAATCCTTGAAGAGAGAGATGATCTGTTCTTCCAGCGTCCCAAGAACGACAGGGGATGGTGTCAGCACAGGGGTTTTCTTCTTCTCCTTCTTTCCTCCTGCTTCTACTTCTTTTCCTTCCTTTTCCTCTTCTAGCAGCACACACACTTACAGATTTTTATACCCTCAGTTCAGCTGCTTCGAAGCACCCTCAGTAGTGTAAATCATTGTCTTTTCTATTGACAAGGGGTTATCTGGTTTGGACCATCTCAGGAAACTGATTGATAATCAGGAAACACTTAAGATTAGGGAGTAACCCAAATACTTGGGAGCCAGCTTGAAATTCCTATGGGTGGCAGATATACTGATGGGATATCTCATGGTTTCTTCAGGAACAATAGATAGCTTGCAGCATCAGGATTTTGGATTTTTACTTGTTGTGCACAAGCCTCAGCTTAGCATGACTTTTCCAGATCTTACTATAGTCTTTTAACAGACTTAAAACAATTATTGGGGTGCTCATAACCTTTTGTGGAGAGGACTCCCACCAGTCGTCTCGGGAAAGATATGACAACACATGGGATTAGGGCTCCAGCAGGCTGGATGCTGTGATGAACCCTTAACCATTGTTCAAATGTTGCCCATACCCCCTCTGACTCGGTCTCTTGCCTCAGCATTCCCTAACCCGGCAACCGAGTTTTAGTCAATCAAGTTTAAATAGGCCTCCCATAGTGGGACCGGGGAATGTACGGCCCGAGATGCCTATTAAACTTAGAGCTGTGTGTGTGTGTCTGGGGGGGAAAAGTCCTTAGCAAATCCAGATTAGAACTGGTCTGATAAATGCTGAGCTGGGTGTGTGTGAACATGGGTTGATTAACATTGGAAGCACAGATTCCCCATCATGCAGCGCTCTCCTGCTTCTCTGGTCCCAGAATTCACTGCAGCCTCTGCTTCAGGCTTTCTGTTTTCCATCTCTCATGTAAATGAGACCTAGGGCAGTTGATTCACTCGTCACCCTTATCTGGTGAGGGTCTTAGGTGCGTCTCTCACTGCATCTTAATCAGTTTCGTTTAGGTAGAGGAGGGGAGGGGGGTGAGTCCTTTGTGAGTCAGACAGACTGCATCCTGTACCAGGGTTCCCCAAGAATACAGAGCTGAGACGTAACATCCCCCAGTGACAAACTCTCATGCTTTCTTTGTATTCTGATATTTTAGTAATGTATATACACAGTACATCTGTACAGTACTCTTCTATAGCTCTAGATAGAATGTACTATCTGCGGAATAGACTGGGCATGTCTACATGAGATGCTTTACTGCACAGCAGACTAATTTGCTGTGTAGTAAAGCATCACCGTCTACACATGCATGGCACTTAGGGCACAGAAGATTAATTTGCTGTGCTGCCAGATAGTCCTGTCAGATATAAGTGGTATCTAGCAACACAATAATTTACTGTACTCAAATGCATATGTAGATGGTGATATCAGGATTAGTTTACTCTGGCTTAAACTGAGCTGGAGTATATTCAGTCACATTTATTGCATGCGTAGATGTTCCCACTTTTTCTGTTTCATCTAAAATATAGAAATAACATGCTTTGTCTAGAATGGTTGCAGCCAACTCCAAATTGATTATTGCAAATTCAAGATAGTGATTTATTTTAGATTAATATCTTTGAATAGAGAACAGATCTAATTCACACTGGGTGCGTCTATATGTGGCCCCCATGCCACAGATGTTACTACACCATCATTTAGTACTTGCTTTACGAAGTACTAAATGATGTTACAGTAACCACCGTAACTTCACTGTCTCAGCAGTGCACGGCTATTTTTAGCAGCTACATCACCAGCTATCTATAGTAAGGTAGCTTGTTGCTATGGCAACGTAGTGATGGCATCATGGTTTGTACCCGTGGATGCTACATCGCTGTAGCAGCAAGCTATGGTGACATAGTGTCTTATATAGACATGCCCACTGAAGCTGAAAAGCTATTAGGAAACAAATCAGAACTCTATACTATCATGTCATATGAAACAAAATTCTGGCTCCGTGGGTTTTTTTATCTCCATGAATATTTCAAAATGATTGAGAGCTATCCTAAAAAAAGAAATTGAGTATTCCCTTATAGCAAACTCACCTGGCTCCCCAGGCTGGATCCAGACCACAGGGGTCCTTGAAGGCTGGATCCAGCCAAGGCTGTAAGGGCTGCCATTGTGGCCACCACACAAGTGTCACCACCATCGGAAGTGTCAGATCCATGGTCTGTCTAGCTGAGAATCCTATCTCTGATGTTGGCAGAATCTGATGTTAAACAAGGAGAGCTTCAAACCAGATATCTTTAGAGTGATCTATCCCCTGTTCAATACCTGCCCTGGCAATCAACGTCTATTGGGTTAGAGATGCCAGAGTACAACATCTCCCACCATTCTGTCCAATAAACATTAATAGAACTATCATCAATGTATGTATCCAGTCCCTTTTTGAACCTGGCTATGCTGTGTGCCTCTACCACCTCCTGCGGTAATTCATTCTGCAACATCTGGTGCCCCCTGGTGGGCTTGATAGAGAAGCTCTGTGGACCATATCCAGCCCACAGAACCTATGTTTGGCATCCCTGGCTTAAGGGAATTTCTTGCTGACATTATGGTTGTCTTCACATCATCTATTCCACCTCCCCAAGTTCAGGGGCATTTTTAGATGAGTCTTATATTCTTGTTGCAAAAAAAGCCAACAGCATAAAAGTGACACTTGTGAATACAACCAAGTAAATCAAAGAAAATTATTATTTTGCTCCATTCAGAACTGGAGAGGCTTCCCTGAGAGTGCTGTATTCAGCTTTGGGCCCCACACTTCAAGATAGAAGTGGACAGATTGGAAAGAGCTCAGTACAGGACAATAAAATTTATTACAGGCTTGGGAAGCATGATTTATGAAGAAAGGCTGAAAGAATGAGGGTTGTTTAGTCTGCATGAGAGAAGACTAAAGGTGGATCTAATAACAGTCTTCAAATACTTGAAGGGTAATTTTAGAGAAGAAACAAGATTAGGAGCAATGGCTTAAGCAGCAGCAGAGAAAATGTAGATTGAAGACTAGGAGGCACTTTTTGACTATGGAGGTCCTGAAGAGCAGTTTAGACAGACACTTGTCTGGGATGGTTTAGACTGGGATGATGACCTTGAGCAGGGGGCTGGACTAGATGATCTTCCCAGTCCTTCTTTCCTATGATCCTAAGGGTGGGGAGTGGTATACAAGTCTGTGCCCCAAATGTCTTTGGATGATGAAACAGCCTACCTCTGCTGAGCAACTCCCAAACCAGTATTTTTCCCATGTAACTGCTCCAGGCTCACCCCCAGCACTTGCTGCCATACTCTCCAGAGGCTAAAGACTCAAGTGCATGGACTGTGGATAAGCCTGGAGCAGCTTTACTGGTGAACTTCCACATTTGCAGTGGGTCAGGAGACTCAGGTGGGCAGGTATACTTAAACCCTCCTGTGCAGGAAATATCACTGTTGCACTAGTGCTCTACATACTCTTGTGGACAGTACTAAATGCAGTAGCCCACCTTCTGATGGGGGTGGATTTTCAGAAGTATATTATTGCACTGCTCCACAGTCTGCATTCCAATAACTTTCTGGGACCAGTTTA